GGGAGCTGGGGGAGGCCGGAGAACAGAATTTGTGATGGTTCAATGGTGATTGTCTGTGCGTATTGGGGGGGTGGGGGAGGTGCGGAGGAGATGAAGGTGGTTTGACGTAGGATCGGGGCAGTTGTGTGGAGCTGCGGGTGAGGGGGTAAGGTGAGGGGAGTGGGGGGGGGGGGGGGAGGGATAGGGGAAGGTTGTGGTGGATTGAGACAAGACGGGGGGAATTGAGGAAGGGGGAGTGTGTGGCATTGTGGGATGCAGGTGGGAGGGGAGTAGTGCTGGTGGAGGACGGTTGGATTGCAACATGTGATCTAGGAAGAGGGGCAAAAAGAGGACGTGTTGGGTGGGTTGGGGGGAGGTAGATTGAAGGGGGGGAGCGGATTGTGAGTGAGTCCTGATTTGAAGGATGGGCAGGGGTCGGGGCGGACTGTCAGAGACAGATGGCATGGGAGTGGGTTGGGAGGTGTGGACTGGTGCAGGAGTGGGCTGTCGTCGAGAAGGAGGAATGGATTGGGGACGGCCATTTGTTGTTGCTCGTCCACGGCCTCCTCGTCCGCCTCTATTTCTCGAGCGGCGATCGAGGGGCATTGGCACGTTGAAGCATGGGCAATCGGGATCGAATTCATCGTGATACCACCATAGACACTTACCACAGAAGGGGGAGTCTTAGTAGGCAAATTGAATTTCCATGAATCCGTTGTTGGGGTCTCTGATTACTACCCATTCAAGGAAGGATTCTTTGACCGACGGATGACAATCGATTCGTACGTTGCCCAATCTTGGCTCGTCCTCTTCTCGGGAGGATGCATTACAATGATGGGGCCCATGAATTTTTGTATTGCCTGCCCCTAGGAGAACATCGCGCCAGGCGGAACTCTAAGCTCAATTATACGGTATTTGACGGCCAGATCCATATCCCTCATCTGATGGAGCTCGGTTTGTGTCATCCACGGTTCAAAGAAGATCTTGATCGGCCCTGTTCGGGAAGGTATAAAGTCGTGACCCCTTGCTACCATCCATTCAGCAATTCTAGAGGAGCGGGCAATGTAGGACATGACGTTAGGACCTTCTCCAAGAGTCCGTCCTCTTTTCTGGGACGGATTCATGTTGACGTCCTGGTACCAAGCGTCTTTATAGACTCGTATGAATTGTTCCCTCTGAGCCATAGTTAGGGACGTAGATCGAGCATCGAAAATAAAAATAATAGTTTCAAATCGCTCCTTGAGCCAGTTTACAGTGGCAGTGTTGACTTCTTCACTGAGAGTGAGGTAGCCAACGTCGTCAATAATCTTTGTCTCTCCGTGGCTAAAATCGGTTTATGGAAATAGGCCATCATCGAAGCATGCATCTAGCAGGGCACGGATGCGGGGCATATCCTGCGAGGCTGTGGACGGACCTCCGATGTGAGACATGGGGGGTCGAGACATCGGTGGGATTCCTCCCTCCCTGACAGAAGGTGGAAGAGAGGCATCCATAGTGATGTATGAGAGAAGACGTGGTTAAGCAAGTAGGTGGGAAAAATCGTGTACCTGGGCGAGATCGCGGTGACGTCGGCAGCTTCGAGGCTGTGTTGACCCTTATTCAGGCACAAGTGTATTTCGACGGGCATTGCGCATTAGGGACATTGCGAGCTCGCCTTGTCCATTTCACATAGTTCGCATTAGTATGTCGTCATAATCTCCTATCCGCTGTCCCGCCTCCATATCCGCCCTCGACATAGCCTGGGTTGACCTAGCAGTAACTAGATAGGACGTTGGCGGTGCCACTTCACCTGGCAGCGTGGTGGTCAGCAGAACCGGTTCTCTCCGAACTGGTAGTGCACCGTCTGAGTGCTCTGCGCCGGCCGGTGGCTTCTCCCCCCCACCTACGTATCGACTTTCGGAAAGAAAAAGAAAAAAAAACGTACTTACCTCTGCCACGAGAGCTGTGGAGATTGAGGACCTTGCTGCACTACTGACCAAATGTGCAACATGAGCATGAATCTTCTGGTAGAACATAGGTAGATACACCGCTAGTAGTTTCGAGCTTGAAATGCCCTTTTTCCTGTGGGCGTGTGGGGTGGTATAACCCTCAATAGCTTGCTATTCGTTTTTCAGTTGTTTTTTTTGTTCGTTTTTTCTTCCTGGGATAGAAGAATCTGGGCTCGATCTAGCCGCCTAGCTCAATTGGTTAGGCACGCAAGTGCCATTCACGAGGTTCTGGGTTCAATCCCCATGGCCGTATGTGACACTCTTGGTGCCAACCAACTGAGATAGTTAGCTCGATCCTCCCAGTCAGTAACAGTAAGGTCTTCAACCAACATGGGTGTGAGAGTGTGAGTGGGTTGCGTGTGGTATGTGGGAGAGTGCTGGCTTTAGACACTACCATCTAGAAGGCTGCCCATCCCCACTTCATAAGACCTTTGCCAAACTTACTGTCTAGAACATGAAGCATGCTATCCGAATGGTTGCGTCCCCGCGTTTGACGTGGTTTAACAATTGGGTCAAGCCCAAAGTGTCCTGCTACCGTAGTCGCTTGTGTACAAATGTACCTATACCTACCTGTGTCTTACCTTGCGGCGCCCGTTCGCGTTCTTGAGTCAACCGACTTTAAAATAACCCCTCTTTCGAGACTGCTCTCCTGCAAGAAAGTTGACGAGGCACGAGCGCGCCGGGAACAAACCAGCCGACTGGCTCGGCGGTCTTGAAACCCAACGCTTTGGAGTTACTGAGGAAGACGGAAGACGTTGATGTCACCACTGAAGTCTGCTCGGAGGTCAGTCAACAATGGAGTGACAGGGATTGAGTGAAGGAGCAGGTGGAGGGGTAGGCAAGATGGTGGCATCTCGTGGTCAGCGTGGAGAAGGCGTCCTTGCGCAGGGAACAACACACGTGAAGCTTCTAGAGGAGACAGGTTTATCAGAGAATCTTCAACGACAAGCAGATGAATGGGTCGTCGAGCTGGAAGACACGCAACAGCATATGCAACAAATTGTTGGAGCCTTGGCCTCCGTGGCCCAGGTCGGGTCGGTGGTGGATTGGGGGGGCTCTACCATGACCACATGGCTGGAGGATAAGTACCAACAACTATCAACTATCCTCTGACAGATTGTGGAAGATCCAACACTGGAGCCTTTTGTAGATTGGCAGCGGGCTGACACTCTGATAACCAATTGTAACATGATTTTCAGCCAGGGAGTAGATTACTACGATGAGTTGAAGGAGAGGCTGCTGATTGAAACATCTACAATAGGGATAACCGCTTCAACAACAGTGATGGCGCGTATGACTATGATTTCAGCGCCAGAGACAATCACATCAATGACATCAACCATAACAACGGTGCCTGCGATTGTGCCATATGCAACAGCGTCGATCACATCAACAACATCACCAACGTTGATTTCATCGACCATCAACACGACGACGTCCACTTCACTACTTGCATCTGCAGCAGTGTCAGTGACGTCTCTACCATCACCGAGATCAGTAACGAATGCTTCGTCTCAAATAACGACAACAAGGTTTGAGGACGCGACTACTCACAAGACTGTCGGTTGCAACAACAACAAAAATAACAATAATATTGGCGTTGTGATAAGGGCGATTGGGCATCCCCTTCCCCCCCACCTTCTCCCTTCCCTCTTGCTTGTTTTCTCACGCTTTTTTGGGGTTGACTGGGGGGGAGGGCGACTGGGTAGGTCGAATGGATTGTTCGGCAAACCAGAAAGGTACCCAGTCGAATGGATTGTTCGGCAAACCAGAAAGGTGTGCGGGGGAGCGAGAAGTGGGATGGTGGAGTAAAGGGGTGGGATAGCGATTGCCAGATCGCCAAGGTGGATAAGGTGGCTTGTGATTGGTCTGCTTTTCCACATCCAACGCTGGCCACGTGGCAACAGGGCAGGTAGGGTTTGCCCATGTGGTAGTTCAGCGGTATGCCATGTGGAATATGTGATTTCAATGGTTTGTGTTTCTACATTTTGGCCACGTGGCAGGGAAGAAGGTGCTGGGAAGATCGGCACCGATGCTTATGCGATCGACTTGTGTTCTGTCACGTGAGTATTGCGAGTTGACCTTTTTTCATTTTTCTATAAACATGGATTTTCACCATGTGGCAGGGTAGGAGGTGCAGTGGTGTTAGGCATCCCGGTTGAATATGTCGTTGTTTTGCTCTCCTGCTACGTGGGTATTTTGCTTTGAATTTGTCTGCAATAGGGCTTTCCTCCACTTGAGTGGTTTGTAGTTAATTACCATCGTGGGGGGAAGCTCAATATAACTACGGATAAACTGCTAAACTATCTCGCCCTGCAATCAAGTTCTTTGCCTTATTAGAGTCTCCCCCACTCCTCAAGGTAGGGCGGAGCTTGATTCTGCACACAATGGGGTTAATCCTTCCCCACCTGAGGAAGCAATCAATGCCCGGTGATTATGCTACAGTCGTGTTATGCAGGGAAGCTGTCTCCAGGGGAGCAGTGGCTGAGGCTCTTCCAGCCCTACCGGTAATGGGAAGAGGCGTGGGTATAAGCTTGTAATCAAATTCGTAATTGGAGCCTTGGGCACTGGGCCCTCTTTCCATGCGGGCCCTTGACCGCAACGTTTTGCTGCGATAGCCAGCTTCAAAGCCCGCTTCCGGATCGGGGGACATGCCTCCGCCACTGAACACTCAAGGGAAACGTTCATCTCTGGCCGTCTATCTGTGTAATCTACGTCGAAAACGCGATCTTCATTCGTCCGGTTGAAAATTGAAAGGGACTAGCCCGCTTCTTTGGGCCTCGTTCCACACCATTCCACTTCAGAAATACTCGAGAAATTCTTCGCTCCACACTGCACTGCACTTGACTTTCACTTTCCCTAATTGTGATTAGGGTTCCCGCCTGTCCCGACGCCCGCCAAAAAAGGTCCAGTGCAGCTCAAGTGTGGCCAGGTGAATAGGTGAATTTTTCAAGTCACCTCTCCGGGCACACTTGAGCTGCACTTCAAAACGGCGCAAGTGAGAGCCAGGAGGCGATTGTAGGCGCTGCACGTTCCCCCCGTTTTTTCTTTTTTTTGTTTTGCATCCCCCCTTTCCTCGCGCCAACGGCCTCTGCCACTTTCCCGCTCCTGTTTCGAGTGTGGAGTGGTGTAACGTCGAACCGTGCCAGGCTCAGGTGTCGATTACCCTGTGACGCAGCTCAAGTGCCACACTTGAAATTGAAGTGGAGTGAAGTGGTGTGGAACGAGGCCCTTTGTGTGCCCGCTCGTTCTCCCCTCCTCTCCCTTACTCTCCCCTCCGTTCCCCTCTCTCGTGTGGTCTCTCTTCCCGCGCGCGCAGATCGTATCTGCTACAACCCGCGGCTGGTAGTTGGCGGGTTATTCGTTTCTGGCCCCGTGTCACCACAAGTTAAGTTGGCTGTGCGACAGATTTTCGTCTCCCGCCGTGTTCCACCAGAACGGGACACCGCCGTGTTCCACCAGAACGGCACGGTGTCCCTCGGAATTCGGCCCTGGTTACAGTACTCGCCATCCGCCAAGATTTCGAATGCATCTGGACAAAATGACGTCCACATGTTGGCGGATGGCGAGTAGTGCGACGAGGCCCTCCGCGGAACAAGCCCACGATGACCACGGCATCTCGATTAATAGCGCCATCGGGCTGAAGCTGGAAACTGAAAGCTGAAGTTGGTCATGTCGATATCGGAGGAAGGTGAGTGAAGTGGCAGGAGGGATGTAGAGAGAGAGAGAGAGAGGCGATTGTTGACCTGCATTAGACGCGGGGGGGGTTACAAATGTGAGGAGGGCGCACAGCAGAGCTTGCATACGGGGCGGGCGAATGATAATCGTTCGTTGAGAGAAACACCATAGCAGAGAGCAGGTTTAGCAGAAGAGTGACGACGGACAGGAAAGAAAGTGACTGTCGACGACGGCGCACATTCTCTTTTTTTTGTTTTTGTTTTTTTTACGGCGCACATTTTCAGTGAGATCCAGAGCATGGTTTAAAAAAAAAAATAATAAAAAAAAATAAATAAAAAAATTGGAAAGCACGGAAGAAGGCAGGCACTCCCGTCCTCAATCTAGGATAGGGACATTGCTGTGCGTTTTATGGCGCTGACGTCTAATCTTGCAGGCCTCTTGGTCATCGTACGAGTTCTGGGGGTCTCAGTGTGAAGTCCGAGTGAAGAAAAGAGTCGTAAGGCAACGGGGCCCCATTTTTCAACCTTGTTGGTAGGCTGAGAGCTAGATTCGATCGATACGTAGATACCGGGCCGCCTTCTCCTTCCCCCCCCCCCCCTCCTCCCCCCCCTCTCTCCCAAGACACGAGGGCACACACAACATTCATGCACAGCACGGAATCACAAGCAGCCTCCGAATGAGTCGGTGAAAGTTGAACGAAGCAGTCTGTCACAGTCAGCCTTTTACTGTGGAGTTGTGTGTAAGGACGACATCAAACACACACACACACTAGCATTTTTAGGAGGAGAGACAAAGTGAGACACCGAGTGCTTGCCTCCCTTGTTCACTCGAGGTAGAGAGATCAACGCAGTTTCGGAGGGGAGATGCGGGGAGGGGGGGGGGAATAAAGATAGATAGACACCGACAAAAGAGAGAGAGAGAGAGAGAGAGAGAGAGAGACACATGCAATGATAGACAAAACGTGCGAGGTTTTACTTTCACAGAATACACGTCCTGCCCATGGCATGCGACGATAACATCGTCGCGATTACCCTTCTAGAGAGAGAGAGAGAGAGAGAGAGAGAGAGAGAGAGAGAGAGTTGGATGCAGTAGCGGTGAGAAGCCTAGTGCTTGACAAGAAACGTTCTGTGCTGGTTTATCGGTGAGTAGCCTTTTCTTTTTTTCGTTTTTTCACCTGTGCTACCAATTAGAGATCCGCGTGTGGCCGCACGTGGCTTTCAAAGATCTATATGGTGAGCATCCGTAGTTCAGCATCACTTGTTTGTCGGTGGTTTCAGTCTCCTCCTTGGTATCGAGTGTTGTTTTGGAATCTCGATATAACTTTTCGCTTTTGCGCTCTGATATCCTGTGACAATATATATATACTAGTAGTAATTCATTTTTAGCTCACGGATACTTGGGAAGAACTTTTTTTTTTTTTTTTTTTTTTTTTAAATTTTTTTTTTTTTTTTTTTTTTTTTTTTTTTTTTTTTTAAGCAAACGTTTTCGATTATGAATCGGTTGTCATCCCCTCCCTTCGTGCGGTCTTCTTTGCGTTTTTTTCCCCTTTCTTTTG